ATAATAAAAATATTGATGTCACTTAAGAGTAATATGCAATAAAAAGTAATAACAAAAAATATATAATAACAAGTCACTTAAGAGTAATTCACTACTTTCCCGGCATCACTGCACCCTACGTAGCCATATAGATAAAAATAATAATAGAAAAACACATGAAAAATAATTCAATTCACTCACAAAATAATCCACTACTTTTCCTCCTTTTTTTCCACACAAGTAATTAAGAAAAAAAAAGAAAAGAAAAGAAAGGACTTACCTGGATCGGTGATTCCTTCGCTAATCAGACAGTTGTACCGGTCAGCTTTTTCTGAAGGAGAGAAAAAGAGAAAAAAATAAAATTAGTCTTCCATACGGGTAGTTTTTAACGCCTATTTCGGCCACCTCAATCAGCGAGTCACTCGATCCGGTGAAAGGTTTAGCCAGACCGGTAAACAGAGCAACAGAACATTACCTTGAAACATTTCCCGGACATGTGTGTATACATGTATATATGTATACATATGTGCATGTATGTATGTATGTATATATATATATATATATATTCATAAAAAATATATTCATATCTATCTATTTGTCTATCTATCTACTATCTATCTATCTATCTATTCATATATATATATAATAATATATATATATATATATATATATATATATATATATATATATATATATATATATACATTATATATAACAAAAAACACACACACATACACATACATACACCTATAATATAAAATATATTACAATCATACAAAAATAAAAAACAAACAAAAAAAAAAAAAATGCAGCGCGCATACCGTGAGCGTCTGAATAGAATATACATACAAAGAATAGCTAAAACAATAAAAAAAATAAAATTGCAAAATTAAGCAGATCAATACCAAAAAAACATAAGAACACAAGAGCCAAAAGGTACAGAGAAGGATAACCGAAAAAAAAAAAAAAAAAAGGACTCACCAAGCAGTGAAAAAAGAAAACAACAAAAAAATCCTTCGGAAATCCTAAAAAACAAATACCGACCCGAAAATCCAAACAATCGAGTAAGGAACGAAAACGAACAAAACACACGGAGAAAAAACAATCGTACCAAAAACAAAACAGCCAAAAAAGCAAAAAAAAACAAATATATACTTATATTTCAAAGTTCCAAGTACGGAGCTGATAGACACAACAAAATAAAAATGTGAAAGGGGGAAGGAGAAAGGAAAGGAAGGAGGAAAAAAAGAAACCAAATGGAGAAAACGGAACACCATGAAGCAAAAAAAGACAGGAAAACCAAGAGAAAAGAACAGAGAAGGAGAGAGAGGAAGGGGGCGAGGAGGAAAGTAAAATGAATAAAAAGAAGGAACAAAAAATTAAGGAGAAGAAAGAAGGAAGGAAGGAAAGAAAAGAGAGGAGGAAAGAATGAAGAAAAGAGGTAAAGAGAAAGGAATAAAGAAAGGAACGAAATCAGAAAAAGAAGGAAGAGAGGGGAGGAAAAAGAAAGAAAAAATAGTAAAAGAGAGAACCACAGAACCTACTAAGTAACAGATAGAATAATAAAAGGAAAAAATAATATACAAAGGCCCGCCGGATTTATAATGAACCACACCAACACCTGGGTCTCAGAGAGCCAAACCCAAAGTATCTTAATGTTACACCCAATTACTCACGGTACTCGAGCCCGCTGTGTTTGGCGAAGCGTTTATCCAATGGAAATGTGCTACCGTGTGTGAGGATAACATAATAACGGCGCAGGCCTGCCTTACCGTCCACCAACTTCCTCGCCCTTAAAACCAACCCGCCCAATCAACAGACTTAGAAACCCTCCAAACCCGAACCTCCAACTACCAATCCCATCCAAACCACCCTCCGAAGCTCCCCATCCAACCCGAACACCATCAACAACAAACTCCCGAACACCATCACAACCCGCCCTACCAAACCCCCCTCACAACGACAACTAACTCGTCCACATCACAACAACACGACACCGATCCAAACTCGCACATCCCAACCCGCCCATCCAGCAAATACAGTTACTCTACGCCCTTACCAACCCGCCCTCCAAAGACAAAACACTCAAGCCATAGCACACTCGACACCTCATCAAAACGTACCATCCCATCAACAAACCACGTCACAAACAAATACCAGCAATAAACTCCTAATCGACCCTCTCAACCCGCCCTACCAGCCGCCCTCCAACCCGCCCTCCAGCAAAAACTCCTCGCCCTCACAACCCAGCCCAAAATCCAGCAACTCCTCGAACCCATCCAACTCCCCTCCAAACCCGCACCTCCAAGAACTAAAACTCCTCGCCCTCCAACACCACACCTCCAAACCCGCCTGATACCAGTACATCGACCCTTACAACCGCCCGGGAAAGTCTCAAGAATCGACCACAATCTCGAAACCACACAGCGACAACTGCAGGAAGCGAAAAAACCTAATCGATCCGACCCATTAAAAAAAGAAATGGCCTAAAAATAATAATTAACCATAATAAACTCCCATAACTTTCTAAAGAAAAAGGCTGGCAGTTAGTTACTAAAAGAAATAAGATAAAATATAGGAAAAGAAAAAATAGAAGATGAAGAAAAACAAAAGAAAATAGAAAAAAGGAAGAATAATTACGCAATAAAAATAATGAAATTAGATTGAAATGAAATGAAATTGAATAAATAAGCAAGACCCACAAAATACGGCGAATAAAAACCAAAAATGATGAAATACAGAGATGATAGATAGATTGATGTGAAAAACAAAAAAAAATAGAAACATATCAATAAACCAAAAGAAATGCAAAAAAGACTTAAAGAAATAATAAAAATATCCAGCAAATCGCACAAAACAAAACACACACACACCACCCACGCCTATAAAATAAACGCGCCTCTCACCAAATTAAAACCGCCCCCATCCAGGACCTCCCCCCATACAAATACCTCTCCACTAGCCCGTCGCTATCCTCTCTTCCCTCCGTCCTACCACTTTCTGCTTGCTTCCATCTCCTCCCCTCTCTCACCTCCGCCACCGCCACACCCTACTCCTTATTTCTTCTTTTTTCTACACTCCTCCTCCCGCCCATTCGTTTCCTTCCCCTACCCAGTCCAATAACACCCATCATCTACCCAAAACAATCCCTCGTACCCTCTCAACGACCCCCCGCCAACTGACAACAAAAAACAACAAAACACACACAAAAACGAACAACAACATAACACACCCATCAACAAACAACAACTAACCAACAACCATCAAAACACAAAACAACCCTCGAACAACACCACAAAAACACCACCACAAAAAATACTCTCACCACCCACCCCAAGACCCAACACACACACACAACCACAAAAAATAAAAACAACAAAACAACAAAGAAACAAAGAAAAACAAAACGAAAATAATATAGGAAACTACAAAACTAAACGAAATAAAATCAAAGAATAAAAAGAAACGGAAGAAAAACAAGAAAAACAAAACAAATAGAAATAAAAATATAAAACGAAAAATTTAAGCACACGATCGTACCCAAGACCACTTGCCAGAACCCATCTATCACCCCTACACCCCCCCCCCCTCCCCCTTCCTCCCCCCCCCTTCCCCCGGGCGTCCGAAATCCCGGCGCAACCGGCCGACATCAACGAGCAAAAATAATTCCCGCCGATATCACACCGGAGAAGAACACAAAATACCGCACGAGAAAACCCCTCCACAACGATATACCGCAGTCCATAGCACCCAGCCTCGAAACGAAAACCAACAAAGGCCGAATAGGGAGAACAGACAGAAGAAATGGCTCTTGTGAATTTATGAATTTAACGGCTCCAGAAAGACCTCAAATACCCCACTCGGAAAAGGACGGAGGGAAAGGGGGACAA